TGAGATGCTGAGAAAAGATCAGGGCTATACGCACTTCAAAGGCCCACCGCAGAATTCAGATTTATCGCCCATGCATTGCAAATTGCATTCGGAATCGTTGAGTTTGACAGACTGGGAGTTGAGATACGGGCCGCACCAGCACTGGAAAATTGATTGAGCAGAGTTAGAAGAGATATTGAACAAAAGCGAACATATAAGGGAATGGGAGGACGAGGGATTGAGAGGAAGGAGCAACAAGGGCAAGGCGTGGACATGATGAATGTGATTAATGTACGTACCTCTCGGGTATATTCCAGCCCGGCGTATTGCTGGTCTCCGCAGATGTTAAAGCATTGCTCTACCGTCATGGTGTTGGAAGCATTCTGTTGAACGAGAATTAGCCATCATTTCAGGGTTCGGTTTCGAGATGAGCGGGTATATGTGTAACTATGGGGGATCATTGAGAGGACTCACCACTGTCCCACCAGTCAAGGCACGCACATCCCCACCGGCTGAAAAGCCTGTGGTCTCGTTATAACATCCTATATATGTATATCCGTGACTGCCGGGATCAATCGTCGCCGAAGCCGATGCAGCGGCTGAAGCACTCGTCGGAGTGGCACTGCCACTGGAGGATGCTGCTAGGACGGGACAAATATATGCGAGAAGCGGGAGGGCAAAGAGGAGAAGGCGAGCAAAAATTGTAAAGGCGGTGGTAGTCATCATGTTGATTTGCGGTGGGCGACGCATTCGCGGTGTGTTGGGCTGGCTGTTTCCGCAGATTGTGTTGTCGCTCAGAAATCGAGTGTCTGCAACCGTGGCCGCGAAATAGAAATTCGACAGCGGAGAGGTGGACAATCGCTATATCGAGGTTATATATGTACAGGGCAGTCAAGGTAGGAACTGCTTGGAACAGCGAGAAACAGGCTCAAAATATCATCTGGAGAGATAAGACTGGCCAGTAATCAACCACCGCGATATCGTCCCCAACGGCTTAAGATGCGACAAGTATGCAAGTGCTAGAGCACGGAAGCACGGCAGAGGCGTCGTGATGCAGAAAGAGGCGGAATTGAAGAGAGGGAAAATGGGTGATAAGTGACAGAATCGAAAACGGTGGAATCGACAGCTCTTTAGGGCTGTTTGGAGACGGATCGGCAATTTTGTCTAGACCAAAGTCTATCTTCCCATAACAACTGACGACTGCTTTTAGGAGCCCGGATGAAGGTCAATTGCCGTCTGGGAGGAATAGATGTGGGTCAGCGAAGGGCGAGTCCTTTTTTCGTCAGGGTCTGTATAACTAACTTACCTGGGAGGAATCAGCGCCGAAGCCTAGTGATGATAATGCAGTTGGGGGAATCCAAACATCAATAGGCGTGGGACCAACCCCAGCTGGAGGGAAAGGGTCCCCATGAGCGACATCTCTAGCTCATCCTTAGCCACGTTGTTAGACAATTGTCTAGCCGTCGCCATAGCCAATGAAGCTGCAAATGCAGACGGGAGGATCCATTGGATTCAATAGTGTCATTGTTAGCCGACTTGGAGTTTCGCCCCATTTGGGAGATCCAAGGGTTCTAGAGCCCAAAAAGAGACGACAGAAATGGATGAAACCATGACAGATTGGGTTGCAGAAAGTAGTCTTTTTGGTATAAGCTGCAGGTGGCTGAATACGGGGAGAAGAAAAATTGTTTCAATAGTAGTACAGAGAACAGTAAGGGGAGTACAAGTAGATATTCCTAATTGAGGAGCTTAACTAGCATGTCCCGTTACCTGTAGAAAAGAGAATTCGGCTCGCAGGGCGTAGCGCTCGATTAACTAAAACTCCACACTGCCTTAGTGTGGTCATCGGGCTAGACACAAACACGAGATGATCAACAACGATCATGTTAAAACAGCGTTTATCTCCATTGTGGCTTCAGTCAAGCTTGATAAATAAATCTGTCAGGCCTGTACCTCACGGGGCTTGGATTGGAACTCTTAGATTCAATTCCACTGATTCGAATCGAGGAGATACTTCCCTTCCAGACACATTTGTGAAACTGGGTCCCACGACAGTCAAAGCTATCGAGCCTCAAGAGCTCTTCAAATACTCATCTGGAAGATGGCTGGTTGACGAAGAAGATCAATTTGCATAGCGTTTCGTCCAGTTTGATATCAACCAGTTATGTCGTCTCGCTGCATCATTATTCGGTGTCACGACAAAATGTGTGCGTATCGACAAGACAGAGGGAACCTACAACAAGGCCTTGCTTCTCAAAATGAATGATGGACACGAGATTATTGCAAAGATTCCTTGCCCAAATGCTGGGCCTAGGCTCCTCGCTACGGCATCTGAAGTGGCCACCTTGAAATTCCGTATGTTTGCTTATTTTTCCTCATCTCTATGTGTATTTCTGATACAAGGATTGTCTAGTGCAATCACACACAACAATCCCCGTCCCCAATGTGCTTGCATGGAGTTCAGATTCTGCAAATGCAATAGGCACAGAGTATATACTCATGGAAAAGATCCCCGGAGTTGCACTGGCTGAAGTTTGGGAGACTATGAGCACCCCAGAGCACTACAAGATTATTGATCGGATAGTCGAAATGGAAAGGGATCTTATTAGCTTTGACTTCTCAGCATACGGGAGTCTCTTCCTACGAGATTCAGTTCCTACCAAGTTCGAGGGCATCCCACTCCCTGAGACTCTCGACCCCGCAAAACTGTTTTGTATCGGACCATCCGTTAAACGGTTGATATGGCAAGATAATTGCGACACATCTCGAATCACAGCGGATATGGGGCCCTGTAAGCTGTCCACTTGGTTATCAATTTCTGGTATTGCTACAAAGCTCACTAATGTGGTTGTAGGGGCCTCATTTACAGAGTACGCTCAATCAATAACCAGACGAGAATTGGACACCACCAGAAAGTCCAGCTCCAAAATCCAACGCCGTTTGCATTCCTTTAACAGAGATCAATCCGTCACTGACTATCAACATCTCTTGCAAAAAATATCGAGTATACTCCCTATTATATCCAGCGATTCCCGCATTGTAAAGCTTTCAACCCCTGCATTGTGGCGTAAAAATTCCCATCTAGGCAACATTTTCGTTTCTCCCGATGATCCGACTCACATCACAGGAATCATTGACTGGCAATCAACCCATATCGCTCCGCTGCTTCTAGACGCTCAGCTTCCCGTCTTTTTAGCGCCTCCAAAGGGCTACAAGCCCGGTCATGAAGTACCAAATTTACCAGAAGACTTTAACCAACAGACTCGCGAGCAGCAAGAGGAAGCTATCCAGGTCTGGAATGCCGCACACCGAACAAAGCACTACGAAACAGCCACCTTACAACACAACAAACATGCATTTGACGCCATGTCGTTTGAACGCAGACTATGGGAACCCTTTACATACTGCCAGCTCTTCTCCCACGATGGTAGCCTAGTCCCTCTGCGTAATTGCTTGCTTCGCATCTCACGAGACTGGAGCGACTTAGGACTCCCCGGAACATGTCCGTTTGAATTCACAAGAGAGGAACTGGCAGATTACGACAAACAAGTGGAAGACTACGAAGTCACTACGCAGCTGCGCAATTTCATAGCGGATGCTCTGTGCACTGATGACACAGGTTGGTATCCTACACTTTCCAATGAGCAATGGGAAGCGATCAATGAAGAGAACAAGAAACTTTTCGATCTGTTTATCGAGACTGTCATGAAAGATCCTGACGAACTCTCGCCTGAAGAAGCGGCAAACAAATGGCCCTTTCCCCCAAAAGTATGGAGATCTGTGTCTCGTTTTTGACTTCCAGGATTTATATCGCTCTCCTTTTTACCGGTTCCCGTCACTTTTAACTATCAGCAGCACAACTCCACTTATTACTTGCATTAGTGTTGGCGTTGGCCTGGATCCAGATATTATGAATTCCTAAACCCCCACTCCTCGAACCAATCTCAATCATCAGAGGCGTTTCAACGGCAATAGATCTTCTCTTTTCCTTTAATCCGTGAATCTTCAATCTTGAACAATCTCAACTCAGAAAAAATAAAATAAAAGGGAAAATTAAAGTATGATATAATCATTCGCTATAACATATACAACATCTCTGTCGGTGATCACATGAGATAAAACACAGTGGCACATCGAACCAAGAAAACTACAAAAAGAAAAAGTGTGGACTCAGTGGAGGTTACAATTTCGAGCCAACCAATTAAGAGGATAGTATATATTAGTATATATAAAGGAAAAGATTGCAATTTGTGATTCTTGATCTACAATGATTCTAAAATGATTCTACGATTCGATTCTGGATTCTGGATTCTGGAATAAGCTGCCCCTCCCCAAACTCCACGACTCCCCGCCTCCCTGACTTCGCGACTCTTTTGATTCCTTCAGTCAAACGTCTAAGAAAGCCCAAAATAAAACAGAAAAAGAAAAACAACTAAAACAGGGAAGAAGAAGAAGAAGAAGGGATGGAGAGGGAGAGAGGGGAGGGACGAAAGAAAGAAGCCCTTAAAAAAAGTAGAACAAGAAAAATAATATAGAAAAAAAAAAAAAAATAAAAAAAAAAAAAAAAAAAAAAACAAGAGAGGGAAAAAGGACCAAGAAAAAAAGAAGGATGAAGGGAAATAAGTAAACACTAGGCAGTGAAAAAATTTAAATTTAAATGAAACTAAAATAAAAGAGATGGAGACAAAAAAAAGGGTTCTTAAAGAAAAAGAAGAATACAAAATGAGAAGGACAGAGACAGAAAGAGAGAAAGAGATAAATAAATGAAGAAAGACAATTAAAGGGAAGGGAAAAAGAAAAAGTAAAATGGGAATCAAGGTCTAGGAAATGACTAGAAGGGAAGGAAAGAGAAACAGACTCATCACAACATTGCAACATCACATGATTCACATCATTACAGCCCTTCGATACACGAATCACACGATACATATATAGCAAGTTGGCAACAACAAAATCAGAATGTAAGACAGTAAGACTGTAAGACTGATGAAAAGCAAGTATCGATCTCGAATAGATAGAAAAGAAGGGAAATCGAAAAAAAAAAGAAAAGAAGAGAAAAAAAAAAAGAAGAGTAAGGAAAAGAAAAGACGAGGGAAAAGAAACCGAGAAAAAAGAATAAATAAATCCGTGATGAATGACTTATAATGGAGCGCGAAAAAGAAAAAATAATGACAAGGTAAGAGAGGATGGAGATGACGAGAAAGGATGGCAAGGATGAGGTATAGAGAGAGCATGGGAGGATGAACACACGATACGACGATACGACTACAGAGGATGCCGGACCTAGACATACACCCGGCTGTACATGCACAGACATTCCTTACGCCTGGATCATGAATTAAAATAATAAAAGGTTTCGATTGAAACTCTGAACTAAGTCTCGATGATCAACTCATTGTTGTGAGTCCAGACTGTTGACGCGACGACGCGATGCGACGCGATGTCAAGATAAAATGCTAAAAAAACTGTATACCATTCGTAGGTCCGCTTGACCATTCGCCAATGTAATACCATAAAAAGACAAAAAGAAACCAATAACCGCGGGATATCATGGGATAAAAAGAAACCCTGATCTGCGCCAATGACCAAAGTCATAGTTCAGCCTGTAGCGACGCCAAAGATAAAATACCAAGTCAAGTTCGCCGCCGTCTGCCAGTGTAATAGAATAGAAAACAAAAAGGACACAAGACCCTATAACCTGGGATAAAAACTCTTGACCACCAATCATCTATAATCGTTCCCCAAGCGACGCCAGTGATAAAATACCAAAAGACTCAAGAGCTGTCGCCGCCATTTGCCAAAGTAATACAGTTCAAGTACAAAAAAAAAGTGAAACAGAAAAAAAAAGAGTAGAAAAAAGAATACCAGAATCACGGGATAGAAGGAACCCTTGATCCAACAAATCCACTAGTCACACGAAGGGGATCGGCGACAACATTGTGAGGTCGGCGATACGTGTATCCGAGAAACGCGCCACGCTTTCTCAACTCCAAGACTTGTTTACCAACAACCGGATCGCGTAGCAAAATGTCGCGAGGGCGGCGACGCGCGGCAAAAGCCTTCTTCTCAGCCGCAACCTTTTGCTCAGCCACGGCGATTTTAGCATTTTCGGCAGCAATAAGCTCACGTGCCGTCTTCGACCGTGGGCGCTGCGCCTCATAGGAGCCGGTGCGGGCAGCTTCTGCGACAATGCGATTAATTTCAGCGATTCGTGAGCTGCCAGAGCTGGAACCACGAGTCGAAGACTCCTTTGAAGGTTCAACATCGCTAATGCTTTGGCCCTCATCAAAATACTTTGTATCTTCCTCGCTCTTCACCTTGGGGACAAAGGGGGGATGGGACAAGTGTTGATTTTGCCAATTCCACCGCTTGAAAAACTTGTGCCTCTTAATGTCTTCGGCATCGTCGGGGAAGACGTAATGTCCAGTGTAATCCTGAACCGAGGTCTGATCGGGCGTAATGCCAGTGTTTGGAAGCAGGCGGTCCCAATCATTTGGCCAATACTTCTTGGAAGAGAGCCGAAGCTCGCGTTCTCGCAGAATTTTGCGGATCAAGTCCACTACTTCTAGGGAAACATCCTTTGATTCAGGAAATTCCAATGTGGTGGCATGATGCTATTTTTCCCAGTTAGACTCCAATGTATAACCGCCAGTTCAAGAGTTGGAAACTTACCAAAATCTTATATTTTGTTTCTGTACGATCATCGCAGCAGAAAGGAGTGTAACCAAATAGACACTAGAAACCTGTTAGGTGACATTTTGCTGCCAAAGATGTAGAAGAAGACTCACCTCAAATATGATTATACCAATCGACCACCAATCGCAGCGCCCATCGTAAGGGTCGCCTCTAATGACCTCCGGCGCCATGTATTGACTAGTGCCGACAATACTCTTGGCAAGCTGGCGCTTACCGGTTCTGTTGCGATATTGAAGAATATTCTCGTCTCCCATATCCTCCTCCACATGGGCGACATATGGGGACTTGACTGGCTTTCCACCGTTCAAGACACTAGCAAGTTTCATCGCTGTGGCAACCTTTTGACCTTGCTCGCGGTCAATAGTGTCACCCTGAACCTCGATTCCCAGCCGGTGCACAAGGGAATGTCGGTGGTTATTATAGTAGGATTGGTCGTGCGCCCAGTGACCGTCAAAGGCCAACCCAAAATCAGATATCTTCAAATGGCCAGACGCCGAGATCAAAAAGTTATCAGGCTTAATGTCTCGATGAATCCATTTCATCCGGTGCGCTTCTTCGACGCAAAGAATCATCTCCGCAACGTACCATTTAGTCATCTCCTCGCTCAGTGTGTTCTTCCGAATAAGAAGACCAAGGAAGTCGCCTCCGACCATATAATCCATGACCAGGTACAAGTTGCTCGTGTCTTGGAAGCTGGCGATCAACGGCACGACCCACCGCGATCGCTCAGATGCAACAAGGAAATCGCGCTCGGCTCGCAAATGCCCTTCTTGGGAATTGCGCAGCATATCCGATTTCTTGATGACCTTCATGGCATACACCTTCTTCGATGACGCCTTTTTGCCATCAATCAAGCTATGCGACTCGGAGCTCTTGTCAAGAGAGTTGGTAGGTTGGAGAGATTTGGTTAAAGCGAGATCCTCTTCTTTGACGAGCCGAACCACGCCAAAACTTCCTTTGCCAAGGACGCGAATAACTTCGTAACCACCAACGGTGACATTTTGAGAGGGTGAAAAAACTCGGCTGCTTGCCCTTGCGCGCAGTACACGAGTCTGTCGGAGATATTCAGTCTCCATACAAGCCCATTTCCACAGCTCCTCATCTCGCTGCTTGGGCGATATGTTTTCAGCCTCAAACTTAGCCTCAAGGGCCCGACGTCTCTGATCCCGGGGCGTCGTATTTCCCGCTAGAATGGAATTGAAGTGGGTTTCAAAAAAGATCTTGGCACTTGCCGTAGTTTCAACAGTGACAACTGACGGTTTGATGACAGGTGCCAGGTCAGTGAGGGGAGAGGGATCAGCTCTCGCCTTTCCCTTCCACATGGGATTGAGCTTGCTTTCTCCCATATGGACTTTTTGCGCAACATTGCCGTATATCTTTTTGCTGGGGGAAGCAGCCATTTTTTCAATAGAATAGTCTGCAGCAAAACGATGCAAAGAAAATTTCGATGGACCTGCCGAAACCATTTGTGCAGCAGGCAAGTTTGACTTTTCCGCCGGCAAGCCACCAAAGAAGATTTTCTGCTTGGGCATCTCAGAACTGGCACACGATGCATCTTCTCCCTTTGATGCAGGCGCGTCATTCTGGAAAGGCCGGGTCCGGGAGACCTTGAGTGGGGACCCAAAAATGTGGGATTTTTTACCCGACCACACCTTGACGGGTGATAACTTCACAGGGGACTTCTTGACAGAAGGCTTGTCCTTTGTCTCCAATGAGCCGTCAGTCGAAGGTTCCCCAAAAAGGACCTTTGCCTGCGAAGACACAAATGGATCTTCGCCGCGAGAGGAAATTTGATTGACAGCTAAGTCCTTTTCAAAAATCGACGATTCATTCGAAGCATTGTCCGCCGCGACGCCTTCAGCGGAAACGCTAGAAAGGGAGGATCTAGCAACAGACTCCTCAACCAAGCTCGGATCAAGTGCACATCCTTTAGGCGAAGGTTTCTCAAAAACCCCAGTTGCCGTGACCAAGGCATCGCTAGGGAGAGCATGTCTCGACTTCGCTCTGAGCGAGCAAGGGGAAATTGAGCAAATGTTTTCATGACCTTCGCCGAGGGGAGAGGGTAAACGATCAGATGGAAAAGAGGTTTGAGCGGTTGACTTCTCATCATCAGGCGAGGAACTCCCTTTGAGGGCTTCAACGCTGGATGGGGCAGTATCGTATGACTCCACTGAAGAATCAAGAATACGCTCACGAAGCACCCGTGAGGGAGTTCCCTCGTAAATAATAAGCGCGCTTGTGGTAGCCGTTGCGGGAGGCGCGGTAAATGCTGGCGCCATAATCGAATCCAGAGACGCGATACGGTCACGTGACACATCCTCTGATCGTTCCAAAACCTCCAAAAGTGCATTCTCAGCACGTGACTTTGTAGGGGTCCCCCTAGACGCCAAATGCGCGGTTGGGGTTGGGAGCTCGAATGAGATAGTGGACGCAGCCTCCCCTATCTTCGACTTCTCTGCATCGGCAAGTGACACAGACACCAAATAGTTGTCGCTCTCAGTTTTCTGATCAACCGAATTTTCGCTATTGAATAAATTCGCTCGGCCTCTCATCTGAGGACGGTGCACGATTGTCGGATGACCAAATGTAGTCGATATCTTATGAGATAGCATATGAAGCTGACCCGGCGTACCCATGCTCTGACGAATTGCACGAGGGTGTTTCGGGGACGGCGTCTTGGCCTTCCTAAGGGGAGCCTGAGGAAGTTCCCGCAGAACATCTGCCGAAAACGATCGGGGACGATCTGCGCCAGGCGCTTCATCTGGGTGCGAACGGCTTGGGGCCAAATGAGCACATTCTGGTCTGCTGAGGTACTCATCCGCATCCCAAATAACTTCTGAGCCAAAAGCCGCGTCTGTAGACCCATGATCGCTGCGTTTGGGAGATGCGGCATCTTTTATAATACTAAGGGCGATCTCGCGCTCGTCGGCGAAGCCGTTGTCGTGCTTGCCTTCTACTATATGAGAATTAGCATACTGTGTCTCGATACAAGTAGGAGGAGTGAACTTACCAATCTTCTTGCGTATGCCAATCATGGACAGAAATTTGGAACTTGTTTTCCTGATCGCATCGCCACCAACAGTACTCCTGGGAGCTTCTTGGCCAAATCCAATATCTACCAAGCGACGTTCAAATTCGCCCGATGGGTTCGTAGCGGCGGAGCGACGCTCGGCCACGACAATTTTCTTATCGGCGACGTCGGAACCAAAGAGTGAGTTCCAACGAGCTTTTCTCTTATTGACCGCAATGGCGGACGCCATTGTAGTCGGAAACAAGTGTCGCGAAAGCAAATAGAAGTAACAAGAAAAGAAATTTCCGCAAATTCAGAAGTGATCAAGGCGAGAACAAAATACAGAACTGAGAAGTACAGAAACAAAGTATTTCAGAGACTTCGACTCAAGAGGCAGTGAACTTGAACAGGTGTAAACTCTTGAGTAGAGACGTGAAACATAAAACGTGAAGCAAAAGTGTCCCGATGGAACACTTTTGAAGACAAGGAAACTCACGAGAGAGATGAGAAAGAAGAGTGGGAGAAGCGACTATGAGAACTGTGTGACGATTTACAAAAAAGGACTGTGTGAAAGCACAGTGAAGTGTGAGAGTTATGTGAAGCTTTACGAATCAGAAAATGGGTGGAAAGAAGAGGGAGAAGAAGAGAGGCGCTGGGGTGGGGAATGGCGGGTTTATATACAGAAGGGAGAGGGTGCCAGATCACTCGACCCATCGTGAACGCGTAGCGAGATCAAAACAAAAAGAGGTTTGAAAGAAGGAAGGAGCATGGGAAGGAAGGTGCGGAGGTTGAGGGAGATCGTGGGGGGATGGGGAGAAGAATCGTGGTGTTGAGGAAGGAGCGAAGGAGTGGCCGTTCTTGCCGCCACTATGTCCGAACATACCTCGAGTCAAGACTTGCCGAAGGGTACATTGAAAAAGCTCTGACAGTGGAGAAGGAGAACATGCGCTGAAGATAGATGAAAATTAAGGGAATTAAAGAATAAGTGAAGGTGATAGAGCTGCGAATTGGAAATGAAGAACGTATTGCAAATCCCAAAATTCAGTTGATACCCAGCGTCTCGAGGATCATGCGACAGCCATGGACGCATCGATATAGGCCCATTGCAAGTGATCAACGAGGCAGAATAATAGGGAAATAGAGCCCTAGCCCATCATGCTGTCCGCGGGGCTGGTATTGAAGCTCTGGGCATATCCCGCACCGCGGTATTTCCCTGTCTCTGGTCATCGCAGAGAGATGGCATCCGTATGGAGACTTGTCAGAGAGACTCTCTGCAACGATTCTCAGAAAGGCACGCTTTCAATTGAAGTAGCATCGCCCCTTCATCGGGCTGCTGCATGCAAGTGTCGAAGAGAACCACATCCATGGCAGCCTTTCACGGTTCAATAATCTGAAGCAGATATCAATTCAGGCCCAGCTGAAATAGTCAATGAGCTAACAAAATTCAGTTAATAGTCGATATATCGACCTTGCTCCACTTGGCTGCGGCAAGCAACAGCGTCTGCGATAGAATTATATTAGTTGACATCAAAAAGAGCCGGTCTCAGCGAGATTCCACGATTATCCCGTGACAATAGCCGGGGAAACATCCTGAAGCAGCGAGCTCACTACCTAATATAGTAGATCGCTCATATAATTTGAATGAATCATAAGTCTCCTAACAATTGGAGCTGGGTAATGTGGCTGCGATTGAGGAAGTCCGTCCCTAGATTGGCTGATGATCGTCTCTATTCCACCAGACAACATGGGAAGCTATCCAATTGACTTCGCAACGTATAGTTTGACCAATCCCACGGTGGGATCTAAGACGTTACAATGTCTCTGCAATCAGTATCATTTTAGTAGGTGTTCATCGTTGTAATTAGTGAAACAAAGAAAGCGATGACTCTTTTGCGTGGAGGACAAGAGAGGTCAGAGCATGTAGCTCGGTTGCGGAACTCATCAAGATTCTGGGACCAGTGTCGACGTAGGCCAGGGTCTAGTTAAGAACCGACTACAACACATACCTAAGGTAGGACCCGTTCATTTACAGGTTCATGTCTCCGCACTGAGGACCAGTTCCGTTTTCTCATAATTTTTGTCCATCATATCTAAATAATAATTGGAGTCATCAACACAGAAGCCAATAGATGACCTCATTAAACCATGACCAACATTATGCGTATTATGTGTGCAATGCTTGCTCCCATGTTTATTCACCGAAGTGCCAAATTAAATGAAATGACCAAACCAAGATAATTCGAAGATAATATAATATACGTATCCACATAATTTGGATCAAAGCATTATATTATAAAAATCTTGATTGTAGATGCAAAAAAGAAAAAGAAATGGCGTCGTGAACAAGATTCGAACTTGCGCGGCCGAAGCCAAGAGATCACAAACTTCCAAGAATTCGAGTCTCTCTCCTTAACCACTCGGACATCACGACAATTTAGATGTTCAGACTAACCCAAACGAGCGATAATCTAAACACAAAAGCTTAATATGAAGGGAAATAGGGGAATCTTTCGTCGAGGATTGTATGCTTCAATTTCGTAACTTATTGTTTTCATGGGTTTTTTCCCCAGTGAGGCGGGACAAGCATTGAAAAACATTCTCAAATCTGGCTCTTTCCCCAGCTCTTGTGCTGAATATTCCCTACTCTTTTTCGTTCAAAGTCACGCTTATCTGTAAAATACAACTAATAATTTCTCAGAATGTAATCACAGCCGTAACGCATCTTTTCAATGATAATATCAAATTCTACGAAGCTTGCATGTTTCGAAGAGATCGAATAGCTTGTTTCCAACAGCTACACCAATTTTCTAAAAGATAAAATGATTTAATAAAGCCTCTATATGACCGGCAGTTTCATTTTGGTCTTATGAATATATCTGCTGTACGTTGGACTTCCAGCTTTGTGATTAGCTTAGGATACAGATCACGGGCATTTGCCAAACGGCAGATTATCGAATTTTTGGATTTTGGAAATCAAGTTAACTTTTAGCCAATCTAGGAGAAATTAATTGTACAAGATACCCGGTCAAGTGTCCAACAATCAACAGATGAGGACCGAGTTGAAGAGCAATCTAGTAGGAAGCCCGCTCATTAACGCAAGTTCCACTTGCCACTGGCTGAGTGAAGGACACGCAAGAGCCTGAACAATTCATGCGCCGGCTGTGAACAAAGAAAAAATCTCCAAACTGCATATGCACACAAGGTCGAAAGCCTGTCGAAACATATGCTTGATAATGTACTTGAAAAAAAAAAAAAGAGACAAGAGACAATTTTCCGTTTTGAAACCTAGTCTTTCCAAACTCCCCGTATGAACCCTTAGATCATGCTAGCTGGTCAAATGCAGGCAATTTATTTAATCTCCAGCATCTTAATGTCGAAGGTGAGGGCAGCATTCGGGGGCATGCCTGGCGGGGGACGGCTGCCATAGGCAAGGTTGGACGGGATGACAATGCGGCGCTCACCGCCGACGGACATGCCGGCGACACCAATGTCCCAGCCCTTGATGACCTCACCCTTGCCGAGAGTAAAGGTGAAAGGCTTGCCCTTCTTATTGGCTGTTGCAAATCGTTAGCGATTGTCGCATCTCAGTCAGTTAAAATGGAGTGAACTAACCATCAAAGACCTTGCCGTCCTGGAACTTGCCAATGTAACGCATGCTGACCTTGTCGCCCTTCTTGGACGCAGGACCAGAACCGAGCTTCTTGTCATCAATCTTGACGCCCTGAACAGTCTTCACGCCGGTAGTGGCCTTGGCCTTCTCCTCTTTGGCGGCAGAGCCGGTAGGACCTTGCTCGAGGTTCTTGGCGAACTGAACCTTCTTATCGCCCTTGCCGGCGGGGCTCTCCTTGGCCTTCTCCTCCTTCTTCTCGATGGCCTTGCCGGCGTTGTTCTTCTGCTTCTTCTGGTCCTTGGCGATGGCAGCATCGAGAGTGGCAGTTTCCTCAGCGGCACGCTTGTTCTTACCCTTCTTGTCGGCCTTGGAAGCCTCAACAAGCTTGGGAGCTACCTCCTCGTCCTCGCTGGCGACTTCGGAGATACGGGGGTTCTCGAGAGTATCAAGCTCATCGCTCTCCTCGTCCTCATCGTACTCATCGTCGAGCTCATCCTCATCAGGAGAAAGGTCATAGTCCTCATCCTCCTCGTCCTCCTCATCGTCGTGGTGGTGGTCATCACCAGCAGGCACAACGTAGTTACCAGTGAGGAAAACAGTGTGAGTACCAGAGACCTTAAAGAAGCAGCGCTCACCCTCACCGATGGTGATGTCAAGGGGTTGCTGGTAGTGCTACGGAGAAGGTCAGTACTGTTTGCTTGCACCAGGCAACACTTAACATATCACGTACCTTGGCAGGGTCGAGGGTGCAAATAACAAATTCCTCGATCTCGAGGTCCTCACCCTCCTCGTCGTCCTCCTCGTCGCTCTCCTCGTCAGACTCCTCCTCCTCGCTAGCCTTGCCCTTACCCTTGGTAGACTTCTTAGCCTCGCCGTCAACCTCCATGGCGTCCTGCTCGGCGAGGGCCTTCTTCAGGGCCTCAACGGCAGCCTCCTTGCGAGCCTTCTTGCTCTTGGAAGGGTCGCTGGGACCGCCATTAGCTTCCTCGTCAGAAGACTCCTCCTCCTCAGAGTCGGAGCCACCGATAAGTCTGCGAAGATATTCCTCATCCTCGTCGTCCTCGTCGTCCTCGTCCTCGGCATCAATTGCCTGGCGAATGATCTTCAGTGTCGCACGAGGAGTGGCGTTGCCGTTGGCGGCATCATTCTGGGCCGGGGCGCTAGGGTCAATGGCGGCCATGGTGATGCGGAACTGGATGTAATTGTCAGCTGGGATGTCAAAGGAGAACATGCGAGCAAGAGATGAAAAAGTACAAAAGCAGCCAGCATTGCGCTGGCCAACAATTCTTCATCTGAGAAATTTCAAGGATAAGACTCACAGTCGCAGGGAAATCAGGAACAGCTGGGATGATGACATCGCCAGCCGGCACCTCGAGGCCGTAGACGGCAACAGGAAGCATGCCAGACATCTTGCGGAACGGTTGAAAAGCGAATCAAGAAAAAATTTTGCGATAAGTAGGAAATGAATTAAATGACGATCTAGATGGTACCCTCAATCGCGTCTTTCAACCTCTAAAAAATTGAAATGAAAAAAAAAAAAAGAGGAAAGAGTGGTGCAGGATACCAAAGTAGTGCAAGGAAGGGAAAGGAAGGGAAAGAAAAAAGATGGAAGCCAAGGCAACGAGCAGGGTCGCTCGATCAACACAGTAGACGGAGTGATCCGCCATAATCTCAAGCGTATTGGGGAAAACGCGAAAAAAACTAGACGCCAAACCTGTTTTGGGAAGACCAAGTAGCTTAGGGTGTTTTCGCCAGAGGTTATGTGCTGCCTTGTTCAGTATCGGTTTACCGCTTCACCATCGCTTCGGTTAAAAGTTCTGCTCTTCTTCTGAGACTAACCTCATTTGTTCATAATTTAACCTACTGATCTTTATCGAGCTTATCAGAGATCACCGGGTAGCATATTGTGTTACGTTTAGCCACTTGACGTTATCCTTCTATTTCCACGCGACATCCCGCATAGCGCGTCATCCCTTCCATTCATGTTTGTACGTGATGAGACGAGCATTAAAAGTGATCTGCTGGAGCTATGCATGAGCAGACTTTAGTTGTTCTTCTTGAACATGATTGAAAATACTGACTCAGGTGGTTGGCGCGTGGATCAAGATGGGCTCCAGGCTCGAGGCGAATTCCAACCGGGTTCGCAAGAGGATCGAGAACCGTAAGAGCACGCGTTTTATATTTCCTTTTTTTTTGTTTCTTGTTGGGAAAAATAATTGGCTGACAATTTAAAGATGAGTTCGAAAATGAGGAAGGCGAGGAATATCAAGGGTCTGAATTTGGAGGGTTCGCCGACTACTTTCGACGAAAGAAGATCAAGCTACAGAACCTAGACGTGGAGCTCCGCGCATCTTCGCCGGAGAAACCGCCCATTTTCCGCGGCATTGTCGCACACGTCAATGGATATACGCAGCCGTCACTGAATGACATTCATGTGCTTATCGTAACCCATGGAGGAGGATTTTCACAATATCTTGACGGCAAGACCACTGTCACGCATATCATCGCGAGCAGCCTGACCCCGAAGAAAGCTGTTGAGTTTAGAAGATACCGGATCGTAAAGCCTGCTTGGGTAGTGGATAGTGTAAATGCAGGAAGGCTATTACCATGGGAGAACTACAGGGTCTTAGATGAAGGCCCAAGACAAAAAACCCTTGGTTTCGACAATGGAAAGGTGGTCAGCCAAACAAAGTCTCAGCGGGAAGGCTACCGTGATCAGACCGATGCCAGCTGGTACACAAAGCAACTGATACGTCCGATCGATGACGAGATCGACGAGTATAATCAACCGCTTCCAAATACACAATCCTTGCGAACGGCAAGTCAGAGTGGCACACTCGACCTCGTTTCTTCGAGCCAGGCGCAGAGAATCAAGGAGAGTAGCAAATCTGTTCCTTCCTTCGAAACGAGCTCTTCTCGCCTAGTTCGTGAAGTTTCATTACCATCTGCAAATACGCCCAGATTTACTCAGGAGAGGCACCATTCTCATCCACCTACGGCAGACCCCGATCCAATCCAAGACGACTTTGAGCTTCTAGCTGACGCCGCTGCGATAAGCTTTGGAGATGAAAGTCAAAAGGATAAACAATTACCTTCAGTTGAGCCTCTAGATTTTGAAGAAGACAATCTCGCTTCTCCAGAAGAGTCACCCTCTGGTATTGGCACGGATCGTGCGCGGGATCAAGCGTCTCCTTCATCAGTGAAGCGACCTGCAAAGACAGCAGAAGAACATAATGCTCTGCTGTTAGCGGATCCGCGGGTTCGCAAATCTACCGTGGTCAACCCGGATTTCCTTAAACAGTACTATTCGGAATCCCGTCTACATCATCTTTCAAGCTGGAAGGCCGATCTCAAATCGCAATTGCAGGCCCTGACCGCCGAAACTTCCGCGACACAAAGGGCTCTCCAGAAACATAATCCTCGCGCCAGGCGATATATCTTACATGTTGATTTTGACAGCTTTTTCGTGGCCGTGTCAATGAAAAATTCTCCGCAATATATGGAGAAACCGGCAGTTGTTGCTCATGGCGGTGGTCCAGGCTCAGAAATTGCAAGCTGCAATTATCCAGCTCGAAAGTTTGGCATAAAAAACGGAATGTGGATGAAACAGGCACAAAATCTGTGTCCTGAACTGAAGGTATTACCATATGATTTTAAAGGTTATGAGGAAGCAAGTAGAAATTTCTACGATGCTATTCTAGCTACTGGAGGCATTGTGCAGAGTGTCAGTGTGGACGAGGCCCTTGTTGATGTCAGCTCACTCTGCATAGCCGCTGGAGGAAGCGAGGGCACTGGCGTCCGAGAAGGCAGCATTTGGCGTGAGCAGGCGAAAGCGGATGAGATTGCCCAAGGCATTCGCGACAGGGTTAAAGATCTCACCAGCTGTGCTGTATCCGTAGGTATTGGAGGAAACATTCTCCTTGCGAAGCTTGCTCTCCGTAAGGCGAAGCCTGCTGGCCAGTACCAAGTCAAGCCGGAAGACGTGCTCGACTTCATTGGACCTCTGGAAGTCCAAGATTTGCCTGGTGTCTCTTACAGTATTGGGGGTAAACTTGAGGAAATAGGCGTCAAGTTTGTCAAGGACATTCGCGAAGTGTCCAAGGAGCGACTGATATCGGCCTTGGGACCCAAAACTGGCGAGAAGATCTGGGAATACGCTCGTGGGATCGACCGAATCGAAGTCGGCGATCAAGTTGTTCGCAAGTCTGTTTCTGCCGAAGTCAACTGGGGCGTGCGTTTTGAAACCCAAGCCCAAGCAGAAGAATTTATCCATAATCTGTCCGAGGAGCTTCATCGACGGCTTGAAGTCCAGCGAGTTAAAGGCCGGCAACTGACTATGAAAGTTATGCGACGAGCAGCAGATGCTCCCTTGGATCCGCCCAAGCACTTGGGCCACGGCAAATGCGATACCTTTAATAAGAGCATCCTCTTGGGTGTGGCCACGAACGCCATAGACATTCTCTCTAAGGAATCCATTTCCATACTCAGAGGGTTCAATGTTTCTCCTGGCGAGCTCCGCGGTATAGGCCTGCAGATGACCCGGCTAGAGCCTTTGAAAGTTACGGGAGAAGGACAACCAAGTAGCAGCCAAAAGCTACTATCTTTCAAACGCCCAGTACAGCCAAACTCTAGTGCCGCACAACCGGCAGAGCAAGCAGACGATCCCATCTCAGATTACGGCGAAAGTCCTCATAAAGCGCAGAAATTCCGTTCCCCAGGATCAATCATCGGACCAAAATCAGGTGCGCCGCAGGACGAATCGGCGAAACCACTTAACATGCTAGGAACGCAATTCATCCTCCCAAGCCAAGTCGATCCTCGCGTCCTTGCAGAATTGCCAGCAGACATTCGATCCAAGCTCTTTCCAACAAATCTCTCTATGGACAAAACCACCGACGAAGCCCCCCCAGCCCCTTCGTCTCCCAGATCCAAACATACACCCCAGCCTACATCTCGCGCAACTACTCCTGTCACAGGCAACATACGGCCTTCTTCTTCGCGATCCGCATCCCCTGCCGTTCCTCCCCTTCCTAATCCCTTCCAACTCGACCCAGAAGCTCTCGACGCCTTACCAGAGGATGTCCGAGCCGAAGTCTTGGACTTTTATACAACCACCCATCCGCAAACCACATTATCTCCGTCCCGCCGTCACGATGGAATCACACAATCCCTTCTCCCACAATCGCCCCGTAAATCCCGCCCATTTGCGCCCCTCACTTCCAAAAAGCAAACCACACCCACCAAGAAACGAACCACCTCCAAACTCACCTCTAATCTGTCTGCTGCTGCTTCCTTTAACCCAACACTCACTCAATCGAACTTTGTCGCTACCACTCGCCAATCCGCCACCACTACCGCGGACAACCCCGCCGCCACAGCGACAGATTCCGAACCCATTGCTCCAGACTTTCTCGCCGCCTTACCGCCCGATATCCGCGCCGAACTCCTCGCCGAGCAGCGCCGCAAACACCTCTTGGCGCGATCACACCTCCAACTTCCCAACCCCTTTGGCACCCGCACACGCGGCTCCAGAGGAAAACGGGGCTCGAGCCTTGCTGCTGCTGCTAGTGGTGGTTTCTTGTCCAGGGCCGGTCTCGGTGCCGGTGGTACGGTTACCACACGAAGGCAGCAGCAACAGCAACAGCAACAGAACCAACCCCGACAACTCCATCTCCCTCCCCGTCCGCCAAAACCTACGTTTACCACCCGCCGCCTAACTGCCCTGCCGGACCTGCGTGATGCAGTTTCAGCATGGTATGCAGAGTTTGCGGACGAGCCGCCGTACGAGGAAGATGTCGCTGCGCTAGTCAAGTACTTGAAACGAGTAGTGACTGAAGAACGGGATATGCATAAGGCTGTTGCGGTGGCGGATTGGTTGGCTTGGATCCTGCATGATGCCAAAGGGGACTGTGTCGTTGTTGATGATGGTGCTGGACAAGGAGGAGGAGGACGAAGTGAAAGGCGAGGAGGAGATGATGACCGCGGAGAAGATACAAAAGGGGCTGAAAAAGTTTCACCTTTTCAGGCATGGCGGCGTGCGCTGCAGTCGGTACGTGCGGGTGTGCAAGAGGCTGTTGTGTCGAGAGGACTAGGAAAAGTCTCGTTTCGATTTGGATGATGATGGAGGTGACCTCATTGGGTTAATTGTTTTCTTTTTCTATTGGTTTCGAGGAATGGTGTTAGTGTTTGGATATGCGAGAAGGATTACACACAAAATACCCCTGTATGAACTTGTTGTGATTTAGTTAGTCGATGATTTTCTAAGTGCGAATTAGCATATTCAGGTCAATACTGCAGGATGCTCAGGATTACTGCTTGGCATTAAAATCGTTTGACTGTAATATGTAGTTTTTATTTAAATATCTCTTTAGAAAATTGTTGCGTGTAATGTAGTGACATAGTAAAAAAAAGGGGTAAAATGTACTGGATGGGATATTGCAAACGCCACCCATAAGAAAAATAGAAACAACAATAGGAGAGAGAGGGAGAGGGAGATCGTCAAGTTTGTCATGCAACAACGCCCATCTTGAGATGGTTAAAGACAAAGAAAAAAGAAAAAAGGAAAGGAAAGAACTACCATAGTGTCCCAGGTCCCAGTCGTGATACCTGATATTCCAGACCGAAAAAAAAAAAAAGAAATTCCACCACTTGGTGATATTTCAAAAGCATATCAGCGATTCCCTCATACTCATGGCAACGAGACTATTGGCGTGAAACGAAGAGGTATGTAGAAGCAACAGTTGGTTGCAGATATCGTGATGAGTCAATGATGAAGAGTTTACATCGGCGATTGGCGTATGAATGCTGTAACGGCCGCGCCGTCACAGGTGTGTACATGACTGCCATGTTTCAAACGAGGAAAAGAGAAATATGGGTCGATGCAAGCATTTACAGAGGTAACAACTCCAACTCGCGCAGCTTCGTGAATAGACAGTTTGAGGAAAATTGATACGACAACTTCACTATTGGCAATGCGGCAATGCATTAGCCACTTTACATGACAACGCACTTGTTGCCGCCGGCGGGCTGGCTGGGGTTTTGCGACTTCTCGACTTCGGCAATCATCAGCTCAAAGGCCTTGCTGACGTGCTCGTTGTACCGGGCACTAGCTTCGGTGAAGCCGCAGTTGATTTCGGCAGCAAGCGCCTTGCCGGCTTCCAGGGTGACCTGGCGCTGCTCGGGCCGCAGATCGGATTTGTTGCCAACCATGACAATGGGGACCCATTCAGCGCCCTGAATCGGATTGTGAGTTTGAATTACAACTAGAGATGAAGGAGAAAAAAAAGGTTGGGAAAGGAGGAGAAGAGAAATTGGAAGTAAGTTGCAGGGTGACATACCAAGTGGTTGAGAATCTTGTCCCGGATAACTCTGATCATGTCAAAGGACTGCTTGGAAGCAACAGAGTACACGAGCATGTAGCCATGGACACCGATGAAATGCTTAGAATTGAGGATGCTATATTCATCCTATAATTTTGTTTGTTAATATATATTTACTTTTTATAGTTAATATGCAAGTCGATTGTAGTCACGTGAAGATAGGTGATAGGGCAGGATTAAAGTAATGATAGCAAACACAAGAACGAGGAAGAAAAGAAAATAATAATTATTTTTTTTTTAAAGAAAAAGAAAGAAATAACTCACCTGTCCAGCAGTATCAATAATCTCTGTCGCATAGTCCTGACGATTGTAGGTGATGACGCGGCTGAAGGTGTTCTCAATGGTAGGATAGTAACTTTCAACAAAGTGACCATCCACGAATTGCACCGTCAGGGATGATTTTCCTGCAGATGCCCGTGAGCCATTGATATCTTGAATTAAACCCCCTCTTCATGCAGTCCGATAAGACAGAAGCATGAGTGAGTGAAGGACGCAGTCAGAATGAGGGCGACCCCTGGACAATGACGTACCCACTGAACGGCTGCCGACGATAGCAATCTTTCTCTGCTTGGGCGGCGCAGGCATGGTGATCTAGTGAGCGAGAGATAGCACAGGAGGTGAAGAGGAGTGGATTCAATGAAATCAGTTATCTCTTGAGAACACACAAATTAAATGAACGGCTCTCCTTCTCAAAACAAAGAGGAGCAAGAGGTTCGAGCCCGGGATAGATTGTTGGATGGGATGAAAAGAGACAAGGACTGCTCTTTGACCATTTGTAGAGGTGAATTTCTCTCTCTCTGGCCGTCCTCAAGATACGGTGATCTAGTTGAACCAAACTGGCACAAGTGAAAGAAGCCATTACGTAAGGATAGACAGTCCCACTCTTCGCCCTTCCACCCCCCGGTTGCCATGTTGACATCCGCTCCTGTTGTTGCCTTGAAGCTATCTAACCTTGGTCACTAGAAGAATTTCCGTCTGATTTTCTTCCATCACTCAAGCTTCATCAACGCTCCTCTCGCCAGAGCACTCTACATATAAGACTGATCCAGTCGCTTACCTTTTCTTATTGTAATTTTGACTCTATCAACTCTTTACCTCACATTATCACAAACTCCGAGATATCCGGGGATCTCGCTTTGTCCGATCATGGCGTCAATAAACGATGACGAGCTCGAGTACTTGTCACCTAATTTTGATCCCGCATCCCTGACCGTCCCCCGACTTCGCGCGATTCTTGTAGCGCATGACGTGCCCTATCCTTCGGCGGCCAAGAAAGCTCAGCTCATCGAGCTGTTCGAGGATCATGTCGTTCCGGAGGCAGAGCGGCTCCTTGCCGCGCGCGCCCGAACAAAGCGGAGCAGCAGAGGCATTACTGACATGCCCTCAAGCCAAGAGGGCTCGCTTGCAGGAGATGACGATGAAGAGGAAATAGTGCCGACGCGGGCCCCTCCAGTAACCCCCCGACGACGCGGTAGAAAGAGTGGCAAGGTTGCGGCTGAGGAGGAGTTCGATACGCCAGCGGCCACACGGACGCCAGCCGCCGCGTCGATAGTGTCACGGCGCAAGTCTACGAAGCATTCTAGAGCTTCTGACACCGAGAACGCCACAGATCCGGAGCTTCAACGACCTGTCGCTCGTCGCTCAAGAAAAAGCACCGCCACACCCGTTGTCAAGCAGGAGTCACCCGAACAAGGCTGGCACGGTCACAGGGCTGAAGCCGATGTCTTTACAGACGATAACCCATTTCAGAGTGGAAGTTCGCCGGTATACGAACCTGTTAGTGCGCGAAAGAGCCGCAAGAGTGTTGGCGCTGCCAAATCCAGCTCGCGGAGAAAGAGCAGCGTCTCGAGACGGCGCACTGGCCACCTTTCACCCAATCGAAATATTGAGCAGCGGGACGGCTTTGCCGCGCCAAGTTCAAGGACTTTTGATGTTCCAGTATCTCGGTTGCGGGGCAGGAAACAGGAGGAAGAAGAAGAGCTCGCAGTGGATGACGAAGGCGTGGAGACGGGCGAAGAGTTCACCCCCGAGGAGCAGCTTGAGCTGGTGAGAGCGCGCGCAAAGAACGGAGAAGCTGATATTCTGCCTCCCCGAAGAAAGAAGCCTAAGCGAAAGGGAGGCATAAGCAAATCCGCACCCTGGGTGATTCTCTTAGCTCTCGCCGGTGGTTATGCAGGTTGGTGGCGGAGAGAGAAGCTCGACATCGGATACTGCGGCATTGGACGAGATCCTTCCATTCCAACCAACGTTAACATTCCCGACTGGGCAAACTTCTTGGAACCTCAATGCGAACCCTGTCCGCCGCATGCGTACTGCTACTCGCAACTAGAGACCCAATGCGAGCCCGACTTTGTCTACAAATCACATCCACTCTCCTTCGGCGGTCTTGTTCCCTTGCCACCGACCTGCGAACCCGACGGAGAGAAAGCGCGCCGCGTCAAGGCTGTGGCAGACCGAGCGGTAGAGGAGCTTCGCGAGCGACGAGCAAAGTGGGAGTGTGGAGATCTCAAGGACACCAAGGGCAAAGAGCTACCCGCCGTGGAGATTGACGAGCAGGAACTCAAGCAAGAAGTGGGCAAGAAGCGCCGACGAGGCCTCAGCCAGTCTGAATTCGAAGATTTATGGTCCGCGGCCCTTGGCGAAATCACCTCGAGAGATGAAGTCCTCAGCGGCCTTGACGGGTAAGTTTTTTTAATCCACCCCATTCGCATTTTGTCTCCTTCCTGAAAACCCCCCTCTGCTCCTCAATCTTCCTCCACTATTTACCAGCAGGCCTCAAGCACCTATTTATCCAAACCACAATCTCTAACTGTGCCCCATTCTCACAAACTAATCAGACTCCATCTCGCGCCCACAGACAGTCCGGTCGTCTCACACTCACATCCACCTCCCTCGCCCGACTCTCCCTCTCCTGCGCCCTCCGACGATCCACGCGCCTCGCGCTGGCACGCTATCGAATCCAGCTTGCTGGACTAATCCTCGTCGCCTCCCTGCTCCTATTCATCCGGCGCCGCTTCCACTCCCATCGCCACGCCAACGCCCGCGTCCCGCAACTCGTTGCCCTCACACTCAACCGTCTCGCCACTCAGGCCGCTTTACACGCCCAAGACCCCCGCGCGGCCCCCGAACCCTGGATCAGCGTCAGCCAGCTCCGCGACGATGTCTTGCGCGACGAATTCTCCGCTACTCGGAGAGAAAACCTCTGGCGCCGCGTCAAGCCCGTGGTCGAAATGAATGCCAATGTCCGCGCGACTGTGCGTGAAGGCCGCGGTGGCGACGTCGGTCGTGTCTGGGAATGGATTGGCAGCGTTGGCGCCATTGAAGATGCCTGGGCAAACTCGGCAAAACGTAGAGAAAGCGGCCGGTACAGCGTGGGTCCCGGCAGCCCACCCCCGGCCGGGTTCGAGTATAATTCGGGCTCAGGATCGTTCCTCGTTGGTGATGAGAGTGAGGGAAACATTACGCTTGGTTCTCCCGGAACGGGCAGGGGCACAGGCACTCCAACCCCTGCGCCTAGTGAGACTCGATCAAGCTCCAGGTGGGACGACGGTGGCCGGCCAATGTATTAGTATTACTCAGTTTTGTTCTTTTTAAAGGATTTTCCCTCTTTTATTTAAACTTTCTGTTTCTTCTAGTCTCCTTTTCTTTTAGTTCTCTGTCTGTTTCTTTCTATTACCCTTTTCTTTTTCTTTTTACTCTCTGTTTCTTTTTTACATTCTCTTTTCTTTGACTACTTTCCCAATTTTGCCTTCTCCTCTTCTTTTATCTTTTCTTCTTTTCCGGATCCCATTTTAACTTTCACTTCTTCAATTCCATGTATATTTTTTCTTATCCTTCTTTTTTCCGTTTTTTCCTTTCTTTTCCTCCCTATCTTCTTCGATTACTTTTTTCTCTTCTTGCTCAATGTCTATGGAATGGTGATTATGTTGTTTTGAAGGGTGATTCTTCTTCCTCTTCTTCTTCTCCTCCTTCTTCTCTTCTTCCTCTTCTTGCTGTTATTGTCCTTGTTGGCCTGTTTATTTCTCAAAACGACGGGCTTTTTCTTCTCTCAGTAATCTCCCAATCTTTCCAATTATCCGATATGCAGGTATACCGCATGTCATATGCAATGTTCACAGACGTAGCTCTGACTCTGAGCTCAGGGTCAGGGTCTGGGCCAGGGTATACTACCTACTAGCTAGCTACAGTGTAGATAAATCCCAAGTAATTTTTACACACTTTTAAATCCCTTTTAGAGTAGTCGTAGTAGTAGTAGTAGTAGTAGTAGTAGTAGTAGTAGTAGTAATAATATATCTTACAGATTTATGTTCTTTCCTGCCTGCTTTGCGGCTTTGCGGCTTTGCGTAGAGGCCTGGAAAATATGAAAATGAAAAATACCTCAGGAATCGTGCGGAAGAGTGTGCCTCGTATATTTGAATAGTAGACGGCACAAGGGATTTAAAAATATACGGTTGACAAGGTGGATGCAACCGTCGAATCTCGCCCGTGGGAAGGGGGGGGGG